CATAGAGCCATAAATCTCTCCTGAGGAACAACAGAACATGGAGAAATGTAACGTTCTTTACTTGAATTAAAAAAAAAAAAATTAGTTTATTTCATGTTATGTCAGGAGATAGCACAAACAATATATTTTAAACAAAATTATTGAAATATAATCCACACTTTAATATATACGGATTCATTCATTGAAATGTATATTTTAATATAATAAAATTACGAAAAATAAGGTCTGATCCCAGCTTTGAAATTTTGTGACAGGGACAGTGTACAGTAAAATAAATTCCCGACAGGTGCATAGTCGCCAGTGGCAGGGGTGGGATCTATGAACCTGAACCGAAACCCACCCAATAAGACACCGACACTCTTGTGTATGGGTCAAAAAACGTCCACATCTTTATTAATAATAATAAAGATAGTAACTTATCACGCACAAATATATAAAGGTCATTACCCACCCCCCACCCCCAATATTATACCATCTCCCCCATGTTTAAATCAAAGCCAATGACCTACAATATAACATAACTTAACAATATATAACAACCACATAAATATTAACATGTAAAGTGCCAACATTTCTTTTGTTTACTCTTGGTAGGGGTATACCCGGATACCGCTATACCACCGAGGTTCTGAGACACCGACGGGCTCGAAAACCTACCAAAACTTGTATGAACAGTGTACCTGTCACGCTCGGCCCAGCCGAGACAGTGGGGAGAGTGTGGAAGTGAGAAGGTTAATGGCCCCAGACCCCTGGTTACCCTTAACTCCTGCAGTACCATTTTAACTAATCAACTAACTGCCCTTACTCCTATATTAACTAAGAAGGCCCGGTTTTACCTTAATCTTCCTTACCCCACCTCGCTGCTGTGAAATGGGGAAACAACCTAGCAAGTAGGGAGAGAGGGAAGGACCAACTCAGCAAGGTAAGGGATTAGAATGAGGGATCCTAAAATAGCCTACCATTTATATCAGCCAGCACCCAAACACTAGCCCACCAATGCCAATACTGCTCCCGCCCCTAGCCCACTTCCTAGCCCTGTCAGGGCCCTTTCCCTAAAAGTTACTTAATCCATGGGCTTCAGTTCGGCTGAATCAATCCGTCCTAAAAAAAATTTTTGTTTAGGTGAACTTAAATTTGTCCATGCAGCTTTTCGGTTCCAACGAATTTTGGACATGCGATTGTTTTGGGGAAAAGGATTTGGACAAACAACAAGGGAGCAAAAATGGGCCAATCAGTGAAATTCAAACTATATACATATATAAATATTGTGTATGTATTTTGCTGCTCACATAGGCACATTTTCTGCCATTTATTTTACAGATCAAGAGAGAAGATATAACCAATAGACGGAAAGGATAAGCAGTAATAGATATATTATATTTTACTTAAATATAAAGTATATACATATGATAAATTTATATTTATATATTATATTTTAATTAAATATATAGTATATACTTATGATAAATATAAAAAAAAAAAATGTACTGCTCCTCATTTTTGCCCTTTGTCGGTCACAGAAGCTAAATTTAAGACGACATATCTCCAACGTGAAGTTTGTCTGTGGGCCGCCGAGAAGAGCTCTGTCACAATGGGCCCACCTAGGGCACTCCCGAGTCGGAGCTTGTACAATGAGGCAGAGAAGGCACCTGCTTACCTGGATTGCAGGTGCCTACTCTGCCGATATATATTGGAGGGGAGGACAGAAGGCAGGCGGCATTCTGCGGCAGCGAGTGAGCACTGATCTGACAGTTCCTCTCTTCTCCCTCGCGTGCCCTCTGTGATGCTGGGAGCCAGAATATGACATCATTCGGGCCCTGGTATGGTTAACAGTGCGCGGGATGAGAGAGGAACTGTCACAACACAGCCCCACTCTGAACTCCAGGGAGACGACCCAAACCAGCTCTCCCAAAGGTAGGGAGGCCGGGTGCGCCTCAAAAAATGTAAATTAATTTGTGAGAGTGTGCAAGAATGTGTAAGTGTGTGTGTCAGTGTGTGTGTCTGTCTTTAGGTGGGTGTGTGTATGTGTGGCTGTCAGTTTGTGTGTGTCTGTCTGTAGGTCAGTGTGTGTATGTGTGTCTGTCAGATTGTGTGTTTGTGTCTTTCTGTCTGTCAGTGTGTGTGTGTGTCAGTTTGTTTGTATGTGTGTGTCTGTCTGTGTGTGTGTTTGTCTGCTCTGTAAGGGCCCTTTGGAATATTAACCCTGCTCTGTAATGGCTCTTGGAGATATTAACCCTGCTCTGTAAGGACCCTTGGAGATATTAACCCTGCTCTGTAAGGGCCCTTGGAGATATTAACCCTGCTCTGTAAGGGCCCTTGGAGATATTAACCCTGCTCTGCAATGGCTCTTGGAGATATTAACCCTGCGCTGTAAGGGCCCTTGGAGATATTAACCCTGCTCTGGAGACACTGCTGCATTTAAAGTGAATGTAACTTCTTTTTTTATTTTAAAATAATTAGCTAAACATTATATATATATATAAATAGATTTTTCCATATGTTCATTTTACGGGAATTGACACTTCTCTGGAATTTAAACCATTGAATTAAATATTTAATATTAACCTTTAGTTCATAAAACGCTCTGTTTTCTTGAAATGTATAGTAAATATTTAGCTAATAACATGATAGACAAGGCAAAGCCAGGCAAACATTGCAAATGAAGACGGGAAATAGAGACGAATGTTTCATTTCTCCTCTGACTGCCAGGTGCAAAGGACTGAGCTTATAATAATGATTGGCAGGAAGCTAAGATGGAGGCGCCTAGCTGCGGGAGAAAAATGTGTGAAATTTGAAATTTTATTTTATTTTTCGCACCTTACAAATACATATGTGTAAAATGTATAAATAAGTAAACCTGATATTAAAATTCCTGTGACAGTCTCCCTGTTTTAGACCTCACAGGCACAAGTTTAGTAAATATAGGGGAAAGTAACTATAATATTAAATATATATAATTATAATATTATAATATTAAAAATCCTGGGATGTAAGTGTTATTTTTATACATGTGAGATTGCTCAATGGGCTAATGCATAATTAGTAGAATCTTTCAACCCTTGTGTCGCAGGTTCAAATCTTTTTTCGGCTTGATGTAGTGCCTTTTCTGCCTTTTCAGAGAAAATATACTGTGTGCAGCGCTGGCGTTAACTCATATGGCAGATCATATGGGTGGGGCATTGTGATGCCACATGGTGGTCAGAGCATATAAGGGTGGCGGCAAATTTTTGTTTGCCTAGGGCGGCAAAAATCCTTGCACCGGCCCTGATGGGAGTTATGATTTACGAGTTACATTAGTAAAATACAAAACAAAAAAAAAAACACATTATTAAGGGGGTTGGGGTGATGCCGTGAGTTACCGCACCGGGTGACACCATCCCTACTGACGCCACTGAGTCTCACTGCTCAATTCTCTGCCATTTAGGAGTTAAATCACTTTGCAGCCCTAGTCACACCTCCCTTCATGTGTCTTACAAAGTCTCCCTACATATTTTGTCTAAAGAGAGATTGACTGTTTTAACTTCCTTTATTGTACAGTATGTTTAATATCTTATCTCCAGCTGTTTTAATACTCTGTTAGAGCCTGTTGTGTGATTAAAGTTGAATTAACAGAGCCAGAGATGAAAACTTCTAAAGTAAACACACTGTGATGTAATATCTGATTTGAAATGAAAGAATGTTTTCATGCTGGTTGTGTCAGTCAGAGTCATGGGAGGTGCGGCTAGGGCTACATAAACAGAAACAAAAGTGATTTGCAGGGTCATGATCTATCCACCAAAACTGCTTCATTAAGCTCACATGTACACCTACACAGAGGACAAGTGCTGGACTCACCGGACCACCGAGCCTGACAAGGGGAGATCTAACACACAAAGATGAGTACCTGTGACCACCAGATCTGTGACAGAGGGGGAAAGCACTACATGCCAGCACAGAGACTCTCACAACCCCATAGACTCTACAGGGGGCAACAGCCTCTCGTGTACCACTTGCCACCTAACATGCTCTGAAATTCACCGCAGCCATATTGTGATAACTAACACCATGATGCCAAACAATGATATCTAATGCTGTAGGAACCCACTCAGCTCCAGTGGTTGCTTGCTTGTTCAATTTGGTGAAGCTTAGCTACCTATATCAGCTTAGCATTTACAAACTGAGGCTATTTACCTGCATAGTTTAAACATTTACACATAAGTTGATTATTTTATATGCTCGGTCATAAGCGTCTGGCTCCCTCCGGAGGGTTGCCTCTAAGCCTCACCTAAATTACTACTTTAAACATGCTTAACCGCACTAGCCTGTGTAATTCACTATCTATATATGTCTGTACAATTCGTGTTATCACCAGACGATCTGACGAACAGACCTAGCCTGTTTGCAGCTTAAATGTATGTTTTAAATCGATCCTATATTGCTTTAACTGATTCAGCCTGCTTATATTACTAAATTGTACCTGTTAATCAAAAACCCTGCATGTTCAGCGAGGGAAATGCCTGAGGACTGCTGTCGGGGCACCTCAAGCTTGTTTGTACCATCTCAATGCACTGCAAAAAAAAAAAAAGTAGGTAGTCTCCAAACCACTGTGCACTTAATATTCCCGTTACTTTCAGAATGGTTTTCCTTGTTTTTGAATGTTTTTTAGCCTTCCTTTAAAAGTAAAACGTGTAAAGGCTGGAATTGATGGACTATAGAGCATTTAGCCCTACACTATCACGTTATCTGGTAAAACATTTGAAACATTGCAAGCATAGCTTTTGTTAGTATATTATTATTATTATTATTATTATTATGATATTTATAGAGCGTCAAATTCCGCAGAGCTTTACAATGGGTGGACGAACAGACATGTAGTTGTAATCAGACAAGTTGGACACACAGGAAGAGAGGGGTTGAGGGTCCTGCTCAGTGAGCTTACATGTTAGAGGGAGTGGGGTATAGTGACACAGTAACAGAGGGATTGAGGGCCCTGCTCAGTGAGTTTACATGATAGAGGGAGTGGGGTATAGTAACACAGTAACAGAGGGATTGAGGGCCCTGCTCAGTGAGTTTACATGTTAGAGGGAGTGGGGTATAGTGACAGTAACAGAGGGATTGAGGGCCCTGCTCAGTGAGTTTACATGTTAGAGGGAGTGGGGTATAGTGACAGTAACAGAGGGATTGAGGGCCCTGCTCAGTGAGTTTACATACTAGAGGGAGTGGGGTATAGTGACAGTAACAGAGGGATTGAGGGCCCTGCTCAGTGAGTTTACATGCTAGAGGGAGTGGGGTATAGTGACACAGTAACAGAGGGATTGAGGGTCCTGCTCAGTGAGTTTACATGTTAGAGGGAGTGGGGGTATAGTGACAGTAACAGAGGGATTGAGGGCCTGCTCAGTGAGTTTACATGTTAGAGGGAGTGGGGTATAGTGACACAGTAACAGAGGGATTGAGGCCCTGCTCAGTGAGTTTACATGCTAGAGGGAGTGGGGTATAGTGGCACAGTAACAGAGGGATTGAGGCCCTGCTCAGTGAGTTTACATGTTAGAGGGAGTGGGGTATAGTGACACAGTAACAGAGGGATTGAGGGCTTGCTCAGTGAGTTACATGTTAGAGGGAGTGGGGTATAGTGACACACTAACAGAGGGATTGAGGGCCCTGCTCAGTGAGTTTACATGCTAGAGGGAGTGGGGTATAGTGACACAGTAACAGAGGGATTGAGGGCCTGCTCAGTGAGTTTACATGCTAGAGGGAGTGGGATATAGTGACACAGTAACACGGATTGAGGGCCTGCTCAGTGAGTTTACATGTTAGAGGGAGTGGGGTATAGTGACACAGTAACAGAGGGATTGAGGCCCTGCTCAGTGAGTTTACATGCTAGAGGGGGTGGGGTATAGTGACACAGTAACAGAGGGATTGAGGGCCTGCTCAGTGAGTTTACATGTTAGAGGGAGTGGGGTATAGTGACACAGTAACAGAGGGATTGAGGGCCCTGCTCAGTGAGTTTACATGTTAGAGGGAGTGGGGTATAATGACACAGTAACAGAGGGATTGAGGGCCCTGCTCAGTGAGATTACATGTTAGAGGGAGTGGGGTATAGTGACACAGTAACAGAGGGATTGGGGGCCCTGCTCAGTGAGTTTACATGTTAGAGGGAGTGGGGTATAGTGACACAGTAACAGAGGGATTGAGGGCCTGCTCGGTGAGTTTACATGCTAGAGGGAGTGAGGTATAGTGACACAGTAACAGAGGGATTGAGGGCCTGCTCAGTGAGTTTACATGTTAGAGGGAGTGGGGTATAGTGACACAGTAACAGAGGGATTGAGGGCCTGCTCAGTGAGGTTACATGCTAGAGGGAGTGGGGTATAGTGACACAGTAACAGAGGGATTGAGGGCCTGCTCAGTGAGTTCACATGCTAGAGGGAGTGGGGTATAGTGACACAGTAACAGAGGGATTGAGGGCCCTGCTCAGTGAGTTTACATGTTAGAGGGAGTGGGGTATGGTGACACAGTAACAGAGGGATTGAGGCCCTGCTCAGTGAGTTTACATGTTAGAGGGAGTGGGGTATAGTGACACAGTAACAGAGGGATTGAGGGCCCTGCTCAGTGAGTTTACATGTTAGAGGGAGTGGGGTATAGTGGCAGTAACAGAGGGATTGAGGGCCCTGCTCAGTGAGTTTACATGTTAGAGGGAGTGGGGTATAGTGACACAGTAACAGAGGGATTGAGGGCCCTGCTCAGTGAGTTTACATGTTAGAGGGAGTGGGGTATAGTGACAGTAACAGAGGGATTGAGTGTCCTGCTCAGTGAGGTTACATGTTAGAGGGAGTGGGGTATAGTGACACAGTAACAGAGGGATTGAGGGCCCTGCTCAGTGATCTTACATGTTAGAGGGAGTGGGGTATAGTCAGGGGCGTATTAGCCGCGAGGCAAACAAGGCATTTGCCTTGGGCGGCATTTTTCAGGGGGCTGCAAAAAACACCGCCCCCAAATGCCCAGGGCAAATGTCTTGTTAGCCTTGCGGCTAACAGACATGCCGGGCGGGCGGACGGCCGGCCGGCCGGCGAGGGAGCTCTTCCCCTGAGCGCTCTGCTCAGCTCCCTCGCGCGCCGCCGAGTGAGGCTGGGAGCCGGAATATGACGTCATCTTCCGGCTCCCGGCATCACTCTGCTGGCGGCGCGTGAGGGAGCTGAGCAGAGCACTCAGGGGAAGAGCTCCCTCGCCGGCAGGCCGCCCGCCCGCCCAGCGCCGCCCTGCAGCCACTGGACCCCAGGGAGAGGAAGAACCCCCCCAGCATTCCCAAAGGTAAGGAGGCTGGGGGGATTAAATAAAAAACCCCACAAGTGAGTGTGTTAGTGTGTGTGTGTATGTGTCTGTGTGTGTCTGTTAGTGTTAGTGTGTGTGTCTGTTAGTGTGTGTGTATGTTAGTGTGTGTATGTTAGTGTGTGTGTGTCTGTTAGTGTGTGTGTGTGTGTCTTAGTGTGTGTCTTAGTGTGTGTCTGTTAGTGTGTGTGTATGTTAGTGTGTGTGTCTTAGTGTGTGTATGTTAGTGTGTGTGTATGTTAGTGTGTGTGTCTGTTAGTGTGTGTGTGAGTCTGTTAGTGTGTGTCTGTTCTTGTGTGTCTGTTAGTGTTAGTGTGTGTGTCTGTTAGTGTGTGTGTATGTTAGTGTGTGTGTATGTGAGTCTGTTAGTGTGTGTCTGTTAGTGTGTGTGCCTGTCTGTTAGTGTGTGTGTGTGTGTGTTTGCCTGTTAGTGTGTGTCTGTTAGTGTGTTTACCTGTTAGTGTGTGTCTGTTAGTGTGTGTGCGTGTCTGTTAGTGAGTGTGTGCGTGTGTCTGTTTGTGAGTGTGTGTTTGCCTGTTAGTGTGTGTGTTTGCCTGTGAGTGTGTGTGTCTGTTAGTGAGTGTGTGTCTGTTAGTGAGTGTGTGTTTCTGTTAGCTAGTGAATGCCTATCTGTCAGTGAATGTGTGTGTGTGTGTATTTAGAAGGCGGAGCAGGAGGGAAGGGTTGGGTGGCGGTTGCGCGGGTGGGGGTAGCGCGGGGGGGTGCCTGAGATTTGTCCTGCCTAGTGGGGTATAGTGACACAGTAACAGAGGGATTGAGGGTCTGCTCAGTGAGTTTACATGCTAGAGGGAGTGGGGTATAGTGACATTAACAGAGGGAGTGAGGGCCCTGCTCAGTGAGTTTACATGTTAGAGGGAGTGGGGTATAGTGACACAGTAACAGAGGGATTGAGGGCCTGCTCAGTGAGTTTACATGTTAGAGGGAGTGGGGTATAGTGACACAGTAACAGAGGGATTGAGGGCCTGCTCAATGAGTTTACATGTTAGAGGGAGTGGGGTATAGTGACACAGTAACAGAGGGATTGAGGGCCTGCTCAGTGAGTTTACATGTTAGAGGGAGTGGGGTATAGTGACACAGTAACAGAGGGATTGAGTGTCCTGCTCAGTGAGCTTACATGTTATAAGGAGTGGGGTATAGTGACACAGTAACAGATGGATTGAGGGCCCTGCTCAGTGAGTTTACATGTTAGAGGGAGTGGGGTATAGTGACACAGTAACAGAGGGATTGAGGTCCTGCTCAGTGAGTTTACATGTTAGAGGGAGTTCCACAGGAACGGTGCAGCCCTCGAGAAATCTTGAAAGTGAGCATCAGAGGTGGGAGTACAGACAGAACATAGACATAAGTCTTCAGCAGATCGTAAGGGCCTAGACGGGACATACTTGTGTATAAGGGAGGATAGATAGGTGGGAGCAGCATTATGTAGAGATTTGAAAGCAAGAACCAGAATTTTAAATTGAGCTCTATATTTTATGGGAAGCCAATGTAGGGACTGACAGAAGGGTGAGGCATGGGAGGTGCGGGCGGACAGGAAGATGAGCCTCGCTGCCGCATTCATTACATTACAGTGAACAGATACCTAACAAAACAAAAACTTTATCAATGCATGCAATGTCCAATTTTTCATTGATTTGCTCATTATTAACAAAAATATTGGGGGCACAGGAATTTTTACTAAGCTTTACAAAAAAACAAATGAGTATAGCGAAATGTATCCCGTCTATGTTTATATGTTAGCAACTTGGTTGTGTTTCTGGGATTGCAGTGTACCTAAATTAGCACCAGACTACAATAACAATAGCTGTGTGGGCCTCATGATCAAATAAGCACATTATTTGCAGTTATCTCTAAGTATCTAATAACACAGTGTATTGCAGGCTGCTATTGTAGCCTATAAAGGATTCTTCTAATTTGCTCACAAGACCTTGAGTTCTCCCTTCTGATTATCTCCTTGGCTTTTAGAACGTAGTCATAAGTTGCTCTGAAGTCTCTTACAGTTTCTCTGCAGAGAAAGTAGAGTACTGACAGAGAGATGTGTAAATAAAACGACATTTCAAACAACCAAAAAAAATCTAGGAACACAGTGGGTAAGTGGAAAAATGTGGCTATCGTATGGAACAACAGCGAAGAATAGGAGAAGCTGGCTTTATATAGTTAAAAATTGGTTTGGCAACAGTAAACCTCTTCAGAGTGATTTCTCCACCTTTATATGTATTCATTCTGTGTTTTTGTTTTCAAATGATGTTATAAAATAGCAAATGTTCAAAGAATACATACAAATGTGATTTGTTTTTTTAAATTAATGAAATAAACCTAATTGCCACTTTTTTACATGCGCTGACTGAAAAAACACATTCAGGGTTATTTACTAAAGTGAAAATAAAAAGTGAATTAGAAGCATTGCCTCTAACAGTGGTAGGTATTGAATCAGGACAGAGTAGGTGGAGTCACAACCAGCGTCACTGAAGACACCAATAGCGGACGGGCTTGCGCTGTGCTGTCCGAGAGCAATTGACTAGTGTTTCAGGACTGCCCTTTAGAAAGTGGGACTGTTGGGAGGCCTGTTCAAAGTTCAAACTGAAAGCATAGCTAGCATTGAGAATTCTTCCAGTACAGCTTTTTTTACTTTAATTTAGAAATTCACTTTCAATTCCTTCCTTAGCGAATAACCTTGAAAGTCTGATTTGTGTCCAAGCAGGAATCTCCAAAGTCATTTTAATACCCCTAGAAGTTGTGACCTTAAGCATTCACTTATTCCCCTATAGCAACATCTCCGACCTGTTTACCTTACTCTCGGCCCAGACTGTTCTCATTTTTTATTAATTTCTTTAAGGCCTTTTTTATTCTTAAAATAATATTGCTGCGCAATCTGTAGAGAATCGTCCGATTTCCTTTTTTACAAAAATTTTTATTTCAGCATCTGGTGCAAACAGATCGAAATAGTTTTGTAACGTTTCTTCTCTGGTTGAGTATGTGGTGAAGAAGTTAGAAAACACAGATGTTAGCTCTTCTCATTGAAACGAGCTCTTAGTTTGTTTTACTTCTTGTAACTTTTGTAGTAGCTGTCACGAAGTTTCGGGAGATCTGGAATTGTGTCTCAACGTCTTACTTAAAGAAAACACTTGCAAGCATTTTGAAAAGTCTCAGGTTTAAATGAACTGTAGGTGACTAACTGCTGCTAAATGCACACTTGAGGCCTTCAACATCTTATTGGGAAACCACAAATAACAGAGCCAATGGGAACTGCTGGTAACATGATAAATATTGTACATAACCACAAAAACACAGCTTCAGAATAACAACGGATACTTCAGATAACTCTGCGATAACAAAATGGTCTTTATAAATGTCATTATATCTTGTACTATAGCCCTATATGTGCATGAGGTTATTTGGAATAGGAGAGGCAAGGTAAGTGCCCCCCGCTGGGCAGATATTATATGAGGAGTTTAAAGAGCATATATCCTAGGTGACACGTTGGTACTAAAGAAGGTAACGTTTTATTCTGGTGTGTTGTGATAGCCACATTGCTAGCGAGAGATGGCATTTTTATTTCGAGTCAAAAATCCCAAATTATAGCTCCATGGACAGAGATAAACGCGGTATAGACCAGAACTGAGACCAGAGTGAATTTGTTCGGCAAAATACGAAATATGAAAGCTCTTGATGATACGAAAAAAATAACCCACAAAAATGTTCATAATTAAATATATCATATATTATTTATAGTAAATTTATCATAAATATATATATATATAATAATAATAAATGATTCAAAGTAAAAATAAAAAACGTCATTGCAATTTTTTGTGTACCATTAATGTGCCGATTTGCTAAGTCGCAGGATGAAGCATTTTACACTATGTCTATAGAACATATAGTGTGCTACTCTGTGCTTGGAAAGGAGGAGAACTACAAGTGACA